GCTGTTGATTCGAACCCTTTGGTCTGCAGGCCAACTCTTATGCACTGAGCCAAACCAGCTAGGGCTCTCATTTATTTTATTTTTTTATGGCTGTATAGTATCCCGCCATGTAGGTGAACTCCAAAATGTGAAATCAGTGTCATGTCTGTGGGCATGTAGGTGTTTCCATCTTTTGCTATGATAGACCGGTGCTGTAGTTGGGACTTGAACGGGCTGATGCACAGGTATGAGTCCACCTAACGGCCTTTGGGATCCTCCCTGCAGGCTGGCCGCTGGCTCCACGAGGTTCTGTGCGGGCATCATAAGCACTGCCAGGCACTTGAGCATCGAGCAGAAGATGGCAGACTATTCAAACAGACTGTACCAGCAGTTAGAGCAAGAAACGGGGATCCAAACAGGTAAGCAGGGGCTCTGCCGTTTCCTGGGCACTGTGTGCGGTCCCACAAGAGTTGGCCTGGTGAGTGGTAATTCAGACCCGGGTTGTAGTTTGGGCTCTGCCACTAGTCAGAGTATTACCTTGCTTTTGAGTTTGCTTTTGAGCTGTCTTTGTTTCTCTATTTTTTTATTATTAAAAAAAAAAATAAAAAATAAAAAAAAATATATATATATATATATATATATATATAAATTTATATATATGTTCTTGTTGATTTCAGAGAGGAAATGTAAGGGAGAAAAAGAGGGAGAGAGACATAAAAACATCAATGATGAGAGAGAATCATCGATGGGCTGCCTCCTACATGCCCCCTACCAAGAATTGAGCCCACAACCAGGGCTTGTGCCCAGACCAAGAATTGAACCTTGACCTCTTGGTTCATGGTTAACTGATCAACCACTGAGCCTTAATGGCCAGGTTTGTTTTCCTATTTTAAAAATGAGACTCAATCATCATTCCAGATCCTTTTCAGATGCTATAATTCTTGTGATAGTAAGGTTTTCCCAGGCCATTTCCTATGTATTTCACTGGTTGAAGGATAATAAGTGCAAAATTGGCTCCTTGAGGAGGAGGAGGAGAAAGAATTTAAATAGGTGCTCGGAAGTTAAGTCAGAGTTTGACCCATTGAAGTACACCAGTCACTAGTAAGGGCGTTCCTGACTCGACAGCTTTCTCACGTCTCTCCTTACCTGTGTAATTGGGGGGAAGGACACAGGGGTTGTAAGCCAGCCAGCACTGGAGTGAAGGAACTGTCCCAGAAAGAGGAAGACCCATCTACACGCTGGTCCCTTGATCAAAGGCAGAGAAAAAGGCCATCAGTTTGCTGTAAGGGGACGGGTTAGTGGAAGCCCAGCCTGGAGCCTGCTCTGGTGGCTGATGAGACTGTGGTGAGTACACTACACATCCTGAGTGGGTAGCCAGGCCCAGTGATGAAATTCCAGACACTTGCATTTGTCAGGGTCGCTCTTTTGAAGACATCGCACAAAATGAATCGGAGCTCATTGGAGACTAATCCTGACAGAGGGTGGTAGCTATGTCTTTTGCCAGCTGCAGTGGCTCTGCCATGTGCTCAGTAGCGGACTATTCAACAATAGTCTAAGCACCGTGTGGTTTACCTCGCCAGCCCTTTAGAAATCATGTGACCGCTGACATTTTCATTAGGGAAAGGCAGGTTTGAAATTTTGATCACAAGTAAGGGTTTATCACATTTCCAATTTCTATAGTTCATACTGTCATGGAGTAAACTGTAGAGGAAGACTGGTTGTCTGGCAGGTAGGATTTGGGAGCCGTGGAGGGGGAGAGATGCCAGGAGAGGATCCGGAGGCTGGAAGAAGGGGCTGTGTATTCTCGGGCACATGGCAGGGCCAGGACGCTGAGACAAGTGCGCATCCTGGGGTGACCGTGCAGCCACAGCGCTGAATGGGGCCCTTACACCGTGTGCCCCTGGCGCCTTGACCCCCCTGTCACTGCACTTGGCCAGGCCTCCTGAGAAGGGCAGGGCTCTCCAGGGAACGTGGCGAAAGTGCTTCCTGCTGCCGCACACTCTCTGGCTCTGACTAGGGAAGATGCTGCTCCAGGCAAGACAGCTGGGAAGCAGTCCCTTTGGTTGGGTTTAATGATGGCAACAAGGTACGTGAGTCAGATATTAACTGGGTTTGAGTCAGAATGAGGTCCACAAAATGGGCCCCCGGTCCATTGGGCCAAAGACGAGTGCATTGCCCTGCGTTGCATCCCTCAGGTGGTGGGATGGCACAGGAATCGGGGTTATAGGTTCTTTTCTGTGAAGTGAGGGAGCTTAGCTTGCTTTCTGGATCACCATCTGGAACCCTTATAGGCCGACTTCTCCTCGGTCCTCATGGGCAGTGAGGAAGCCAGCTGAGGGAGAAGGGATCAGCCTCAGTTCCACATCGTGGTCGTTCACCAGTGGCGCAGGGAAAGGTGACGGGCCCAGGAGGAGAGGCCTCCTGTCCCGCAGCTGGGCAGGCGCCTGCCATGTCACTTCACTCACGGACTGCTGTTGGGATGAAATAAGGATGAAGTGACATTCGTGCCCCTAGGTTTAAGGGAAGATGTCACCTGCTTTTCCTCTGAAAACAGTCCATTTACTCGAGATGTTCGTTCACTACCTGCTAATCGGACTCAGCAGATGACCCCCGTCCTCACCCCAACTGTGATGTTAGTGTCGGCAGTGCTTCAATCTCAGTGTGACTTTTGTCAAGTGAATGAGAGAGGAAACATAATAGCTTTTATAATCTTTGGAAAGTATTCCATATTGTCCAGGATCTTATATTAAGGGTCATTCTTTTTAAAAAAATATATTTTATTGATATTTTTTACAGAGAAGAAGGGAGAGGGATAGTCAGAAACATCAATGCGAGAGAAACATTGATCAGCTGCCTCCTGCACACCCGCCACTGGAGATGTGCCTGCAACCAAAGTACATGCCCTTGACCGGAATCAAACCTGGGACTCTTGAGTCTGCAGGCCGACACTATCCACTGAGCCAAACTGGTCAGGATGAGGGGTCATTTTTTTATAGCTGAAGAAACTCAGATTCAGGGAGTTGAGTAGTTTTTCCAAATAAGTGATAATACATTTATAAAAAATTATTTAATGGGTTAAAAGGAACACACACACACACACACACATTCTATATATATATATATATATATAAAGAGAGAGAGAGGTACTCTGCTATATGTAATCTAGGGTAGTGAGCAGAAAATGAATTTTGAACCCTTTGTCTGAAATTCAGGCTGTGTTAGCCACAAGTCATTGGACTACTCTGGTAAACAGACTGTATTTAAACACCAAACTCTGAAATTTCAGTTCTCCAAATAGACATTCAATGTGCTGACTTAGTACCCTTCAGACTTCAGAGGTTTCTCCCCCCCCCCCCTTCCCAATCCCCGTGGGACTGAGGGGTCCAAGGTTAGTAGACTCCTTGGGGACTTGATCCACACTTGGATCATGTCCTGGGTCTGAGTGAATGAGGGGAGGACACCTCAGTGTCCATGGTGCTGAGCACTTTGAGTGAACTGACTCATGATGTGGTAGATAGGATGTAAGCTCTCCTATTTGAACTTTTCTTCCTGCCCCTGGAATCGAATTGTGCACTCAAGTCCCTTATTAAATTTGCCAGCCATTTTTAACCTCAGAGAAATCTCATTTACAGTCTCAGGGTGTGGTCCCTAGGAGTGTTTTGTTTTTTAAAATGAAAGCTTTGACCTGGCCTTTTCAGTATTTCTGATGAGTTGAGAGTCTGCTGCAGTTGCCTTAATTGTGGACCATCTGAGGAGCAAAGCCCAGCCCTTTCTTTACCTTGGACAGGGGTTCAGATCTATGACCGGACAAGTGTTGTTCACGTGATGACCAAAAAAGGTGAAGTGACTGGTGTGGAGACAGATAAAGGACAGATCGAATGCCAGTATTTTGTCAACTGTGCTGGTCAGATAAGTCAGCAGCAATAGCGGGATCTCTGGTTTTCTTATTTACCTTTTATCTCGGGACTTTTTAGTGTAGAGACTTAAGATTATTTAGGGACAAAGTAACCCGATGTCGGGGCACACTGTCCTGTGTGGCTGGAGACTCCCACGGGGAAACCTGCACTGCTCCCCTGTGGAGCTTCGGGGCCTCCTCCCTCCTCCCAGGTGAACTGGTTTCCCCTCGCCGGACCCTGGAAGCACTTGTGCATTTACAAATACAAAAGATATGAAGAATTTCCCTCCATCTTTAATATCTTTTTAAAATACAGGTGTAGGCAAAAGTAGGTTTACAGTTATAATTCAAATCCTACATAATAAAAGGCTAATAGCAAATCGACCAAATGGTCACTGTGACGCACACTGACCACCAGAGGGCAGACCCTCGATGCAGGAGCCGTCCCCTGGAGGTCGGTGTGCTCCCACAGGGGGAGCGTTGCTCAGCCAGAAGGCAGCGGCAGTAGCGGGAGCCTCTCCTTCCTCCACGGCTGTCTGACATCCCCCAAGATGAGAGGGCACTGGCCGAATTGAGGGACTCTCAAGTGCACAAATTTCGTGTACCGGGCCTCTAGTAAGTAAATAAGAATAAACTCTGTGTTTTACATACTCACAAATGTAAACCTACTTTCTTATGAGAAATATCAAACTTACCCACCAGCCAGCTCCACAGTCTGGTGTCGTCTGTGACCACTGCCCACTGGACTGCTCCCAGATGATGGACTCTCTTTAAAACAGACTGAGCATCTGTCCTGGCAGCCATGTCAGCTGAGGGGGCCTGCCCTTCATGGCATCTCCCTCGGGCTCCCCGAGAGCTTGAGCGCCAAGCCCTTTGAGACCCTTATCTGTAACGTGTTTGCTCTCCCACAGCATCTTCTGTGTCAGTCTGCAGGCCAGGCACCTCGGCGGCGTGCTCCGTAATCCCAGCAAGGGCTCTGCTCTCTGATAAACGGCCCCGTTGCTCTTCTGAGAAACCTCTTCCCAGAGATTTTATGAAAGGAGGGGAGGAGTTAGGAAGTGTGAGGAGCTGGAGGTTTGAATTCCCTGAGCTGAGGACTCTGTCTGGCTGTTTTTCTTGCTCAGAGCCCCTGTTGAGCTCCCTCCTGCGTAGGATGCCAGACCTGGAGACGCTGGAGATTGTGAAGTTGGTCAACTGCCCCGAGACCTTCGCGCCAGACATGAGGTGCATCATGGGCGAGTCCCCTTTGGTTAAGGGCTACTACGTCCTGGCAGGAATGAACTCTGCTGGCCTTTCGTTTGGTGGAGGAGCTGGAAGGTAAGTCTTTGTCCTCACACTCAGTTCACTGGGCTGCTTTTTCCCTAGAATGACTTGACGAAATAGATGAAGTGTATTGTACACCATAGTAAGAAGAAAGTACATGTAATTTGAGAGTATCTTCCTCAAAGCAGTCACTTTGGGAGGCTTTTCCAACATTCCAGAAATGTCACTGTGCAAGTTATTTCTGGAACTCCTCTTTTGAAATCAGCCACTAGCCTGTGGGATGTTGTGTGTGTTGTTTAAAAAAAAAAAAAAAAAAAAAAAGGTCAATAATGAATCTGGAAATTAAAGGAGGTTTAGAATATAAGATGAATTGTTATAGTCCTGTTACCTGTGGATTCCCAGATGTGGCTCCTCAGAGAATACTTGGATAAACAGATTAAAGTCTGGTGACTAAATTCTGATGGTAGCTGAGTACAGTACAAGATCGCTGGCTGCTTCTCTTCCCAGGGTGACATGTGAGTGATACATAAAGTGCCAGGTTTCTAGCATGAAGTCAGTTGTAAGGCAGGATGTCGAACCCAGGGGCAGGCAGTAACTTGGGGAGGAACGGAGGCTTTCTCTCAGAGCCAGGCCAGCCCGCAGGGAGGGACAGAACGCCTGTATCTACCGCACCTCGGCTTCCACATTCTGTTTTGCATTTGGTAACACAGGAATCAACAGTTTTATGTGTGATGTCTATCTTTTGTGATGGCAAACACAGATGAAGAATATTTCAGACATGGCAAGAGTAATTAAAATGTTTGTTTATTCATTTATTGTATAAACCTGGTAATATGAAAAGAAAAACAACTGAATTCCGGCTTGATAATACCATGTTCATGGGGGCAGAAAGGCTCGGTCACCCTGTGGGCCTGTGACCAGGGCCCTTGAGAGAAGATCCCATTTACCTAAGTTCCTCAAATGGCTTCAGGGCCACACAGGACCACATGCTAGCGCTGCACAACAAAGGGACAGAGAGGGCTGGACAGGACGGCACGTTTACAGATGCGGACAGTGAGCTGTGGCACTTTACAGTCATTACAGAGGCGCTTTGAACATGGGGAGAGTGGACCGGAGAGGAGGTGTGAGCTGTGCTGCTGGAGAACCCCTCACTGAGACGGGCTGGGCAGCCTCTCCCCACACCCGCCCGTTCTGGGGAAGGAGGGGTGAGCGGGCGATGGGACCTCAGCCTGAAATGGCGTTACCTTGGCCTCCCCCCGCCGGGGGACACTCTGGAGTGTAAGGCACGAGAACTGGCGGGAGGAAAGATGTGCTCCAAGCCCCAGTTCTTGGTGTGCAAGGGGATTCCTGGCTGAGAGCTTGCGAAACAGGTGCTAAAGATATCCTTCCACCGCTTGTAATTTCTGTCCTTGAGAGACAGACAAGAGCAGGCAGAAAAGGACTGCAAAGGATGAAAATAGCTGCGTCTAAATACCATGGGGAAAATGGCCCGTGAGAAATGTGTAATTCTCCAAGGACATTGTTCAGAGAAGCCAAGAATCATATTATGAAGAAACAACCCTGGTGTGTAGTGGACAAAGAGAAGGCAAACACATACAAAAATAGTCCTCTTGGAAAATAGTGCATTTGTTAGTGATGAGGGACTGCACATGTGAGCCCCACACTGACGATGAAGGAGCCTTACAACTCAGCACCTTACAGTGGAGGCGGGGGGTGGTGCGGGGGTGCTGACTTATAGAACTACAGCTTACAACTTAAAATTCGACAAGATCGGGCGCGTTCAGGGTGGTATGGCCATAGTACAACTTACAATTGGATGTCCTAGTTGATTCGGGGAACATCTTACTGTCTCACCTACCATTTCTTCCACTCAACTGTGCTGCTCCTGACCCATGTGCCTAGACATGCTGTGAGATGAAAATTCTTTCCTCACAAGGAAATTGCCCCTATATCGTGCTGATAAAATGCTGCTAATGTCAGTTTGTAAGGGACCGGGCTAAGGGGCTATTCTTTAGTAGTAAGCCTTAGATACTAAGGAGGATCCTTGCTGCCTACACTGCACAGGAGCCAGAGATAAAAATGAACCTGGCAGCTAACCCCTGAAAGCAGGCCAGTGAGCTCTCCTACTGGACACAGCCTTCCAGGTCAGAACCAGGACCACAGGTCGCAGAAGAGCCCCCCTTACCTGCCTCAGGGTCTAAAAGGATGGTGAGGACAGATTTCAGCAAGTGTCCGTGAGTCAGAAATCAGGGCAGCGAGTCGTCTCTGTCACTGTGCTCCACTCCTGCAGAAATGGGATCTTTGGGCCAAAGGGAAGCAGGTTGACCACTGGGCTAAGTGGTCTTTGGCCCTAGCCTGAATGGCATTGCCCAGAGTTGGGGGTTCAGGGACTCCCCAGGAGAGCACGAGCACTGTGGTGGGAGTTGTCCCTTTGTGTCTCCAGCAGCATGTCCTGCTCATGCTCATGCAGGTGGGACTACGTCACAAGGTAAAGGGCATCAAACAGGTTATCCAGCAGGTACATTTGTCCCTTTTTCTTAAAACTCTGAATTAGACTTCAGTGACAGAATCACAGATGGGAACCTTTCTGATAACACGCTTTAAGTCAACCACCGTGGCCGTGCCAAAACCGGAGGCCTTAGAAGCTGTCTCAAGGGAGGAGGCACACAGGAGGCTTGCAACCCCGGGTCTCCCTCTGTTTGAGGCTGACACACCTGTGTTTCAGGTTAAAGTTCCCTCAGCGGAACATGCTGACAGAGGAGAGTGCAGAGCCCCCCCAGAGGCTCAGAGGAGAAAAGTGCCAACCATCTTAAAGTCCATCCACCCCCTCACAGGAGCCCGGAACCCCTGGAATCCCTAGAGGTGAGTTGTCACACACACACTTGGGGCCCCCCTGCCCCAGAGATGGAAATGACACAAATGAGGTGTGATTGTCAGTTGTGCTAGAGGTGGGAGTCAGTCAACCCCTTCAGATTTAGGACCAAATGGAGAAAACTACCAAATTCACACTGCCTGCATTTGAACAGAGGCTTCAAGGATGGACTGTGAAGTGCCCACCTCTACTATGGACAGGGTGAAATTTATGCGTCACTAGAAAAGGTGATTTTGGAACGGTGCAGAGCGTGTACTACCTGTAAGCCCTCTAGCACGTTTCCATCTTCTTGGGCCAGTCTGCTCCTGCTGCTTACTCTGCGTTGGCACACCTCTCCTTTCACTCTGTGCCTAGGAGCAACATCTCCCAGCCATCAAATACACATTTGCACCAGAATAGCAAGGCCTTCCAAGCAATTCTAGTCACATGCTCCCTTAATCAGTCAGCTAAGACCTTCTAAAAAGGTGGGCACTTGCTGGGGAAATGGCAAGACATGCCTGGAAGCAGACTGTCTGATTAGGGGGTAAATAGCAGCCAGAGCAGGCTGGCACCTGGAGCACCTTCCTTACTAGTCTTACAGACCTAGCAGAGCTAATGCATTTACGATGCCAGTACAACAAAGGCTGCAGTTAGTTACATCTCTAGCAGCAGTTTATGCTTTTAAGAAATCAGCTTAAAAAGGGGAAATTAAAAATTAAGTGTTGGGCCCTAGCTGGTTTGGCTTCCACCTGTGGACTGAAGGGTCCCAGGTTCGATTACTGTCAAGGGCACATGCCAGGCTCAATCCCCAGGAGGCAGCTGATCAATGATTCTCTCATCACTGATGTTTTTTTCTCTCTCCCTCTCCATTTCTCTCTGAAATAAAAACATATTTAAAAAAAAGAATTTAGTGTTGGGATGACTAGTATAATCTGATGTCACTCAATTTTTCACCCTTAAACGAGACACACTTCTTAACTGTGCATGACCCTCTTGGAGGCTCCAAGTCACTTTCTATTTGAGAGGATGTGGAAAGCAATCACACACATACCCCTCCTCACTCAGCACCCACGTGAGTCAGCTGTGGCTCTGTGCTGTGCCCGAGGGAGCAGAACTTGGCAGTCCAGTCCTCTTGAACTCAGTATGTGGCTGCCCTGCCTTCCCCTCCCTCCTAGGGGGAGAAATGTTGGCTGAGCTAATGAGCCTGCTGCCGAAGGGACAGGAAGAGAAAGCGACACTGTTTGGTGTTGGTACGTTCTGTGGTTAAGACCCTTCTCGTCTGGAAAAAGCAATGTGGTTTTCCCTTTCAAATACTGTGGCTTGCTTGCTTACTCAAACAAGCAAAGCCCCCTCATTACAGAGATTAACAAGCGATGAAGAAAATTATAGGCGGTGGCCCTGGCCCTAAGTTCGAGAACTAGTTGTTGGGGAGGCTGGGAATAATGCCAGCTTAACTTTATCTCCGCAGCCCGCCTGATGCCTCTCATGTGAGGTAGATGGTCATCTTGCTAGAGGTGTCACTGTGCCAACCCACAGCACAGGACCAGGAGCGCAGCCGCCTGATACAAACTGCCTCAGGGCCGTCACAAGCCCACAGCAACTCATCACAGCGAACAGGCAGCTCTGAGGACACCTGGCGCCACGGAGATGGACTCTGGCCTGCTCACCCCCAGCTCCCTGGTTTCCCGACACAGCATGTGACAGCCTGCCACCACACCCACTTCTACAAGGGGCTTGCTCCTGTCCCCAGGGCAGTCTGAGTTGGGTGGACGGATGGGACAAACAGCCCAGACTGAGTGGGAGGAGATGGGAAACTGCAACAGGGAGGAAGAGATGAAAGGACAAGAGGCTGCAAAGCAGAAAGTTTAAAATGATATCACGGCGGTAAGAGATGGAAGGTAAAGGTTAAATCGAGAAGAGGGACGGGGTCAGGACAGGCTGAGACGATGAGACTGCCTGGCATTACTTCCCATGCAAGTCACTTAGCTCCACGTCTTCCTTCCGGCGCTTGTGGGTGTAGAGGGAGGCGACCGGGTAGAGCCGGGCCTTGGCCTGGAACCGCTGTCCTGCGATGTCAATCTCGTACTCTCCCCGGTTGACGAAGTCTGCTGTCACCACCTGCTCCTCCCCGGTGTTCTCGGAGAAATGGTGCACGAAGCCCAGGCACACGTGGCGCTCCAGGGTGTAGCTGTAGGCACTGCTGGTGGTCTTGCCCGCGTACAGCCCGTTCCGGTAGATGGGCTCTCCCCACCACGGCCAGAGGTCCAGGTCTGTGTCGTGGTCGTCCAAGACGAACATAGCCAGGCGCTTGTACACTCCGTTCTGCCTCTGCTGCAGCAGGGCCTCTCGACCGATGAAGTCCACCCCCTGGGGAAGGAAGGCAACACTGAGCCACCTCACGAGCAGCACCGAGGAGGGGCCCTGGGTCACTGGTGGAGGGCAGCGCTCCCCCACCCCACCGCAGGCTGTGGGGACGTGCTGCCCACCGTGTGAAAAACGGCATTCACACAGAAGACGCCTTCAGAGAACTTTTGTCACACAGGTACCCATGTTTGTTTTCTATTTTATAAACACCGATTTCAACAAGACGACATAAAATATTTAGGAAGAAAAATCAATATTCCAAAAACACTTGCTGGAATATTTTAGAAAAAAACAGCGTTTTTATATAATTCCAACAAAAAGTCCATGCATATATATCTGTATTCAATGCATGCATGTTTATATATGCATACGTACAAAAACAAGAGCAGGATAAAATAAACTATGAATGACTTTAATTTTCTTGATATTCTATTTTCTACAATGAATATTCATTTTATATCAGAAAAATTGTTATCTATAATTTCTTAAAAAGAATACTGTAGATCTATACTGGTAGGGAATGACTGCTAATATAGCAAAGATGTAGTATCCAACCATCTAGGTTAGAAAAGTGGCCAGGGGCCCTATCCGGTTTTGCTCAGTAGATAGAACATCGGCCTTTGGACTGAAGGGTCCCGGGTTTGATTCTGATCAAGGGAACGTACCTTGGTTGCAGGCTCCTCCTTGGCCTAGGCCCTGGTCAGGATTCATGCAGGAGGCAACCAATCAATGTGCTTCTCACAGTCTTTCCCTCTCTCTTCCATGCTAACAAAATATCAATGGAAAATATCCTCGGGTGAGGATTAAAAATAAAAAAGGGAAAAAGTGGCGAAGGAGCACACCAGTGCCATTCCCTTCCTCAACCCCCGTCCCCGGCACACGGCCCCTCACCTCTAAGGGACTCCATGAGACGTGCAACCAAGGGAGCAATAGGCAGCGGCAGCTCATTCTGGGCTGAGGCCTCAGCGAAGGCAGCCCAGACTCTCCTGTTACTTCCATGCCCTTATTTTACCCTCATTTTTATTATTTATTTATTTTTTGCTGAGGTCAATAAATACTCGTTGGTTCAAAACACACAAATTCTAAGAGAGACAAGAAACTGATAAAGGTGGCAGTGAGACAGGTGGGGTTCAGAGATGGAGAAGATAATTCACCCAACATTCTCTTCAGTACTGACTTTTAAAAATCATGTTCAGCCGAAACCGGTTTGGCTCAGTGGTAGAGCGTCGGTCTGCGGACTGAAAGGTCCCAGGTTCGATTCCGGTCAAGGGCATGTACATTGGTTGTGGGCACATCCTGGTAGGGGGTGTGCAAGAGGCAGTTGGTCGATGTTTCTTTCTCATCGACGTTTCTAGCTCTCTCTCTCTCTCTCTTCCTCTCTGTAAAATATCAATAAAATATATATATTTTTAAAAATCATGTTCATAAAATACTTTGAAACCAAAAATTAGGCAGTTGAATGGAAGGTAACTAATTTGTACAAATAATCATGGCATGTTCATGTGTCCCTACATTCTACTCAGAAAAACTTCCCCAGAAACACTCAGTCTAAAAGAGAACAAAGTGCTGAATACAGGTGCTGTTGGTTTCTTGTTCTCATATTAAGATGTTTTATCTCACAGATATACTAATCATTCTAAGGACATCCTAATCATCACAGTTCACTGATGCTATCTTCAAGGTCTCAGGATTCCACCCTTTCCTTCCACATCAGCCGCTGCCTGCTCTAACACAGATCCCTGCACGGGCAGGTGAGTGACAGGAGTGCGCATGGACACAGTACCTTATCTAATTTCACCCGAGACTCTCGTCCACATTCCAGGGGGGTGGTGAGGGTATTCAAATCCTGACCCCAGAAGGCAAAAAACTTCTCAATTCGGAGACTACGAAGAGCATAATACCCAGCATTCCGGATTCCGTATTTCTGCCCAACACTCATCACTTCATTGTAGACATGTAGGGCATACTAGAGGGAAAGATGGAAGGGTAGTAAGCAGCAGATCTTCAGATTTCAACCTGGAGTGTGTGCCGTGCCTGATGGCTGACACTGTTAATCTGGATGGCGAGGGGTTGTATAAAATTCTCAGGATGTCTCATCAACAAACCAAAGTGCTGCAGCCCAGGAGTAAGGAGCCAGGGTCACCCTTAATGCAGACGTAAGCTCCATGAAAGCAACATTCATTTCTAAGCTATGAGAGAGGTTAAGTACCTACAGACATTAAAATATGCAATAATGAATAATTAAAACTGTAATCTTGGATCTGAATAGACTGACAGAACAGAGTAAAAGAGTCCAGAAATAAACCCAAATGCACTTAGTCTCTGTCAAAGGTAGAATCTCAAATCAACTGGTTATCCAGGTGGAAAAATACAGTTTGAGCTGTACCTCATAAAGTGCACCAAGAGACACTGTGAGGGGATGGAGCATTTAAATATAAAAGAAACCACAAACCCGTAAATGGCAACTAACATAAAGGCACTAGAAGGAAAATGGAAAAACTAGCCCGGGAGTGGGGAAGCCCCTTCCACAAAGACTAACCAACGTAACTATATAAAAATAGAATTTCTGCAATAGATGAAACATTTTCCATAATAAAAAGTAAATTTTTAAAAATCCTTCTACATACAAAAACACAAATCAAAAGACAAATTGGCAACAAAAAAAAAATGTACAGCTCTACAGCAAGGACTGTTAGATTCAGAGAATGCCAAGGAACTGGTAAAAGCACCAATAATTCAATACAAAAATGGACAAAGGATAGGGCCAGAACATTTACTCAAACAGCATTCACTACATGCCAAGTATCTCGCCAAAGTGCTGAGAATATAAAACTTAAAAGACAAATATGCCTGCCCTCAGGAAACACATTTAAACAGGTAATCCAATTAATAAAAGAAAAAAATATGGAGGCGGGGCGGGGGCAGGGACGGAAAAAAAAAAAAAAAAAAAAAAAAAAAAAAAAAAAAAGAAAAAAATATGTATATATTTTATTATGGAGAAAACTAAATCGGGAAAGGTGGAGAGGGAGAACTGGTGTTGAGGGTGGGGTTACAGCTTTATTTTTTATTTTTATTGATTTCAGAGAGAAAGGGAGAGAGAATCATCAATCATGAGAGAATCGCTGACTGCCTGCCTCCTGCATATTCACAGTGGGGATCGAGCCCATGGCCCGGGAATGTGCCTACTGGGAATTGAACTGCAACCTCCTGGTTCATAGATCGACACTTAACCACTGAGCCATGCCAGCAGGCTTGGGATTGCAACTTTAAATAAGGTCTCATCAAGAAGGTGGCATGTGAATCTGACCTGAAGCAGTATGGCCAAGAGGTTGGGAGTATCTGTCTGATAGAAGGGGCGCCAAAGGAAAGAACAGCAAGTCAAGGCCCTGAGGCAGGAGCAAGCTGGCATGTTCAGAGACTAGCAGGGAGGGAGGGAGGTAGATAAGACTTGTTGCATTAGATCAGAAAAGAACAAGTGGAAAATGGGCAGGCAGAACTATGCAGGCCCTGCAGGTGGGTGGGCTTTTATTTAGAGATGGTTTTGAAAAGTTGCTCAGTGTCTCTCTCTCTCTCTCTCTCTCTCTCTCTCTCTCTCTCTCTCACACACACACACACACACACACACACACACACACAAAACTAAAGCTGCACTGACCAACTGCTTTGCATCTTAAAGTTTGACACCTCCGTGTGTTGGCACACTCTTGTACACTGCCAAATTTTTATAATAGTAAAAGAACTAGAAACACCATAAATGTCTATTAGTACCAGGCTGGTTAAATAAATGATTCAACTATAGCATGGAATAATATGCCACTATGAGAAAAGAAAGAGGAAGCTCTTTCTCTTTAAATACTCATAGGAAAAAGATCTCTATGGTAAATTGTTAAGAAAAACAAAACAAATGCCCAGCTGGCATGCCTCAGTGGTTGAGCATCGACTTAGGAACCAGGAGGTCACGGTCTGATTCATGGTCAGGGCACATACTGGGTTGTGGCTGGATCCCAATGTGGGGCATGAAGGAGGCAGCCGATCGATGATTCTCGTCACTAATGTTTCTAACTCTCTCTCCCTTTCTCCCTGAAATCAATAGAAACTTTTTTTTTTTTAAATGAACAACAACATGCTTCTGAGAGTCTAAAGAGGGTTAAAATATGTCTTTGAACTTCCATATTCACAAAAATTTCTGACATGACAAAAAAATTAAGATCACATAGAAGAAACTGGTCAAATGGAAATGAGTATTTTGGTTTGGGGTTTTTTAAAACCATGTGAACATATCTATTTTTTTAAAAAAGTAAATACCTTAGTTAAACATGCTAAAATGTCTTTAACGCAGCTTATTCAATTACCCAGGCACAACAGGCTCTACCCCTGCCAGTGCTCAGCGTGTGGGACCAGCACACCGTCCTTGCTTCTCACCTCTATGGGGATGTACAGCATGAAGCCCGGCTCTCCTGTGTGGGTCATGCTCATCACCCGGATCCCGTTGGCATAGCCCACACTCATCTCCTGTGGAAGCAAAGGGACACAGTGTCAGAACTCCAAGGGAAGTGGATGGGGTCTGAGGCAAACCCCTCTCCTTGGCTGTGCACCCTCTGACCCTAAAAGAGACATGTGAATGGAAGAATTTCATCCTCAGAATGATCTGTTTTCAGGTCTCCAGGTCATTAGGAATGGAACAAAGCCTTTACAATATCCTCTCTCTGAGTATCAGGAGTGCTAGCCAAGCTGCTGAAGACCAGGAGTCTCCTCCAGGGCACTCGGCAGACAGTCCTAGGCACCTGCCCACAAAAAAATGCTGGTGCCGAGAACACGGTTCACCTGCTATCCTGGGGTCTGATGTTCAAAACGTGTTCACAGCAGCTCCGTTACCTCTGTCTCAATTCCTGTTCCTGTGAAGGAAAGTGCTTGTCCCACGTGGCACTAAAGCGAACTTTCCACAGGAAGTTCGGCATCACATGGTGCTCTGCAGGCACACACGATGGATCAATCATCAAGAAGCAAAGACAACCCTAGCTGGTTTTGCTCAATGGGTAGAGCATCAGCCTGTAGACTGAAGATTCTGGGTTCAATAAAAATTTAAAAAAGCAAAGACACTGAAGGAGTTGGTAATGGTTAACAGTGAGTTTTCTGTGGCTTTCACTCTGCCACAGAGAAAAAGGAAAACTAAAATCAATTAGTAGGTGGATCTCAATTTTGGTTTGAACATCAAAAAGCCTCCTTTGATAACTGTCCCCAACCTGCTTGTTGCAGGCTGACCAAAACATTTCTCCATTTGGACCTCAAATCAACCACTTCGAGAGGACGCAGTAATGTCTTTTTTGTTCAGTTATAATGTTTCACTCTGCTATAGTTGCCAAGTATAAGAAAGAATCTTATGTAAGTTGTTTAGGAATTCACCTACACCACTTATTATAATACCTGAAGATGCCACATACACAAAAGCTGCTCTGCCTCTAGGCATGGGGGAGAGAGGAGCTGCTGGAGAGAAGGGACCTGACCCTCACTGGCGTTTTATAATCCTGTAACGTAGAATCTGCTGTTATAGAAAGCAATGAATGTATAGAACTGATATTCAGAGAAGTTAAATCCACCTCAAATATATCCTAATGCTTATTAAATAAGGAGACCTTGAAGGGTGAAAAGTAAGTGAATTTATTCTGTCATTTTATTAATAAATCAACACATTTTGTGGGTATTACTGCCATAGTAAGAACATGCAATTGCAATCTCTTCAAAGATATTCCCTGCCCATTCAAAAACTAGAAACTTACTGGCACTCACCTTGCAAAAGAGGCTTGGGAAGTGATCTGGAGTTATCGGGGCATAGGACAACTCGGACAGCACATCCACAGCTCGAGGACCAATCAGATTGAGGGCTAAATAGAAAGAACAAGCGATGTCTGGCCGCTCCAGGGAAACAGCTGAGCCAATGGGAAAGGTCTGTTGTGGGCTTGCTCACCTATAACCAGGCCTGGGTGGCAAGACCACAAGAGCATCCCTTTGCTTAGGCTGTCCAAGGGCACCCGATTCTGACAAATACACCTCTCCTGACAGGCCTGCTACCTGCAGCTGCTGACTGCTGGCATAAGAACTAACTCTTGTGTTTCCTTTCCCTAAGGACACGGGAAGGCAACATTCCATGGCCGCCTCTGCAGTCAGATGGGAGCATGAGACCACGTCCTGGCCAGTGAGACAGGAGCCCACCTCTAGGCCTGGACATACTCTCCTGCATACTTGCCATTCCCTTCATCTCCCCAGTGTGGCTACATGATGGGAGAGCCCCCTCCCAAATCAGGACAGGAGAGCTGCCCAATCCCTCTGGATCTGTGACAGCAGCCTGCACTAAGTACACTTTAACTATCTTCTTTCAGCCACAAAACAACTCTGGTTCAATGAGATCCTGTAGTTTGCCAATCTGGTAGCAAGAGTTTGTAATGTTTGCTGCTACCATGAACTGAGAATGAGGGCCTGCTGGAATGGCGGGCAGGAGCAGTGGGTTAAGTGGGGGGAGGGAGGAGTTACACCTAGAAGGTGGGTGGGCTGGCATTAGAGGAGGGCTGCTCCCCCGACTGAACCCTGAAACAGGCAGGAAATGTAAGTCACCCTTAACAATCATTCACTCTGCCCAGCCGGTGTGGTCCTGTGGTTGAGCGTCAACCTATGAATCAGGAAGTCAGGGTTCAATTTCCAGTCAGGGCACATGCCTGGGTGTGGGGCTCAATCCCCAGTAGGGGGCATGCAAGAGGCAGCCGATCAAAGATTCTCTCTCCCCCTCTCCCTCAATCTGAAATCAATAAAAACATATTTTTAAAAATTATTCACTCATTAAAAAAAGAAGCTAAGGAAAATTTTTGAGGAAAATAATACTTAGATAATAAATATAAAAATGCTTTAAAATTACTTAATCTAGAAAACTAGAGAAAATAAAAATTATTTATTCATTCACTCAACAAATATTCACACTCCTAACATGCTGGCTGCAGGGGACGTAGCGGTGAACAAAACAGTAACTGAAGAACTCATTCCACATTTCCCTTAAAAGACTCGGGAAGTCCCAGAGACCAATTCTCTATAACCATGAGCCTCTGCCACGCTCCTAGTCCTGACAGATCTGGGTCAGCTCCCCAGGCCCGGAGAGAAGTACCCGTGTACTTCCAGGTGACGTCCTCCAGGATCAGGTCGCTGTCCAGCCGCATGTGCTTCTTAAGCCAGGCCCAACAGTGGACCTGCTGGTCGGTCGGAGAAATCATGAAGAAACTGAAAGTGAGACCCACAAGCAATCAAAACCAGGCGGCAGAGAAGAGGATCGGGAAGCAATCAAGTTCTGAGCTGGTGTCAAAGCAGTGGGTAGAATACTGGCCAATGAGCTCTTAGCCTTCAGAGGGCCAGGAGCATGGGGCCTGAGGGGACATCATGTAAGGACAAGCAGAAGACTGACTTCTGTCACTCTACAGACTTACTAATACAAGATAAGACGTCTTCTCCCAGTAGGATAACTAATCTTCCACATCCAGTTTTGTATAATCTGGTGAATTTTTCTTTCTTTCTGGTGACTTTTTTTTTTGTACTGGACTGCTAATGAACTGGCCAAAAGGCAGTGAGGTGGTTCTGTCCTTGGTATGACTCAGGGCTCCTGGGGGAGCTGGTGCTCTGCTCTGTCACAGAACCTGGCGACCAGTGCCGGAGGGAGCCAGGGCGGCAGCTGACCTCACCTGCGCTTGTTCAGGCGCGCTATGCTGCAGTCATTCTCATATCCTCCACCCTCATTGAGCATGCCGGTATGCACGATGTGGCCCACGGGCACGTCAAGGTCATTGGAGAAGAGGTACTGCAGCGTTTCTAAGGCCTGATCTCCGGTGGACTGCAGAGTTAAGACATGAAGCAGAGAAAGCACAAGAACATCTGGCTGGTAACACGGCCTCATGAGCAATGTGACTTGCTACAAAAATTCACTGCAACAATATTTTCAGATTTACATCACTGTAAGAAGCACCAGAGAAAGCTAGCTGTTGGTTCAAATGATAAATGGGTCTCTGTAAGCAGATTAAAAATCAGAATCAAAGATCTAAGAATTCAGAAAAATGTTGTAATGAAGATATGATATTAAAATATACCAGAGTTCTTACAGAATCTGTTTTAAAGAGAGAGATGAAAAAAGGAGGCACCGTCTCCTAATCTGTTATATTGGCTTCCAATTACTTACTGTTATTTCAAACTTTGTGAAAGAGGACATGTCAATGACACACACGGCTTCCTTACAGCACTTGACTTCAGACTCCACAATGTCAAACCAGTCCGGCTTATAGAAAGTCTTGCTCTGCTCCAAAGCCAGGAGGTCTGCGGACCAGAAAAACAACGGAAGATTTATATTGGGGAGTCTCCTGTATAGTTAGGTTTTATTATTTATTCTTCCAGGAACACATTCTAACTCTATACATTTAAAAATAAACTGTATTCTAAAAGCGAAAAAAGTGAACAAAAATGAGAATGCGCCTCTTTACCCTTGCCTGGCGGCACAAAGTACTTGGGCCTCTCGAATCCATGCTTCTCCATCCACCGGGCTCCTTGTGCGTCCAGCCGGTCGTAGAGAGGGGATGTGCGTAACTGCCTCCCGGTCTGGAAGTCCCAACGAGGAACCTTCAAATCGTACAGCAGAGCTAGAACCGAGGAGAACAGTCCATGAAAGCCCACGCCAGGGAGCTGAGTGCACACTACCCAGTTGCTCCCATTCAAAAGAGCATCTTTCCAGGCTAACACAGCATAACTTGCCATTCGGCACCCAATATAACAGGCATGTTCCAGGAGAAAGAAAAGTATCAAGAGCTGGTGTCACCCCTTCAGTTATATAGCTGTGAGGCACATGACAACTCTACATTCCTGTTCGCAATTATGGTTCCAAATCCGTAAGTAGATCTAAACTTTGTTAGCTCTGTAGGAGAGAGGAAGGAGATATCGAAGGTCACAAGTGATTACAAGTGTGAAAAAATGGCACTTGATTCTTTACAGTTCCTGTGCTGTTGGGATCTCAGACCCATTACAGACATTTCCTCTGTAATGCTGACCCATGTCTGAAGTGAAAGGTCACAGCACACCTCATTTGGTAGCTCTGAAAGCTGACGGCTTCCACAGTATTGTCCCAGTGACATCATTCACATAACAAGTTAGGGTCAGGATTCAGTTCTCCTAAAGTCCAGTCTGCAACAGCAATGAGTAAAAATAGCCAGAAAGAGTGTGACCTCTAGTCCCTTCCAAAGAGAAGACCTGACCTCACACCATTCCACACAGGAGGGACCTTGGGGTAGTGGGGGAGGTTAGAAAACTAAAAATCAGGAAACTAAAACCCTGGTTTTCTTATATTGTGACAACTTGTCCGTCTCTGGTATTTTAGGTTCTATCATGCCTACAATTTCTATTTTATGAGAATCAGAAAATGCCATCTAACCTGTCATGTCATCAAGGAGAAAGTCAAGCTGTTATGATTTGCTTATGTTCTAAAGTAAGTATGGATGGGGAAATCTGGACTTAGGGTAGTTCAATATTTTAACCAAAATATTTGCTAAAAAGAAGGAAGCTTAGCAGTCACACATACTGCTGGGAGGTCCCAAATCTCCCCCAGATATGAATTTTCTGCCATAAGGCATCCAGGTGTTAAAGGTCACCAAATGCGCACGATGAATGGAACCACCAGCTACTGAACCAGCAGTTCATTCTTTAAAAAAAAAGTTTTTACTGATTTTAGACAGAGGGAAAAGGGAGAAAGCACAAAAGAAACATCGATGTGAAAGAGAAACATTGATCAGCTGCCTCCTGCACGCCCCCTACTGGGGATCAAGCCCACAACACAGGCACATGCCCTGACCCTTAATCAAACTGGCAACCTTCTGGTGCACGGGACAATGCTCAACCAACTGAGCCACACTGGCCAGGGTGAGCAGCTCATTCTTAATCAAGAATAGTGATCACAGCCAATGTAGCAACTTAGTCCTGAGCATAAATATGCCCAAAATATCCCAAAAATATCTGTCTGTCTGTCTAAAAGTCTAAGCAACTTGCTGACCAGCTGACACACAATGACCACCAGGGGGCAGCCGCTCCGCACATAGGCATGGAAACATGGAACAGTCTGATGAATCTTGGAAGGGGTACGAGGAAAGAACAGGAAGTGATTAACCAAAGATCTTATATGCATACTAGGTCCAGTACAGGTCCCTGGGCCTGGCCTGTGGGTATTAGGCCAAAATTGACTCTCTGACCTCCCCGAGGGGCGCCGGATTGCAAGAGGGCACAGGCCAGGCCGAGAGACCCCAACTGTGCACAGGTCGGGCCTCTAGTTTAGACATATTTTGGCAAAGGTATAAATAGTTCCCCAGTGTAAAAAAAATGAAATTACAACTTGATTTGATTTAATTCCAAAATAAAAGTTAGGAAACAAATGCAAGACCTAGTTAAGTTACCTAGTTAAGTTAAAATGAAGATCTGGATCCTTCAAAGTTGGAGGGAAGCAAGAACAAGGAGAAAAGGCAGAGACATGTCTTGTATGCACATGAGAAGTGGTTTTCTATCTTGCCAGATTATCAGGGTTAAGGACAGAAGTCACTCAGAGAAGCTTGAAGCTTTGAGAATAAGTTGGCAAGTTCGCTGCATTGGAAAGCAAATCATGATCCCAAAGACCAAGTGGGGAACCAGAGCACTCACTGTGACATCAGCTTTCCAGACACAGTGGGAAGCAGGCAGTGCTGGGAACATACTAGAAGCTGCTGCCTGAGTCTGGCAGGAATTACACCTAAAAGTCAGTGCACTGTCCTGCCCCGTGACGTAAACAAGTACAAGATGCGAGAGAGAACATTCCGCAAACATCACAGGGACACCATGTCCCCGACA